TCACCTAAGGCTTGTGAAAAATGTCGAATTGGGCGCTCAAAGCAACGCTTTCCACCACGCGTTGCCAGAGAATTATATTGGTGCCGGTTTTCCGGAGATTCCTGTGGTAAGGTTTTGATAATTTATCTCTCTTTATCTCTCGCTCTCTCTCCTCCTCTTTTTATCTCTTGCTCTCTCTCTCTTTTAAAAACTTATTTAGGTACTTGGCCTCCCCTCGACTTACTCTTTCTGCGACAAACCGGTCGATTTCACCTACGAAGAAAATCTGGAGTTGATTCTAGCTAAGATTTTTCAATTTGCAAGTGAGGACAGTGTTCAATCTGCTGTAAGTGTCCTTTAATGGCCTTAAAATCTCACATTTTTAGTCGGGTCTCGTGTTCGGACTGGCCAGCCTCGTCGAAGCGTTTCCGCCCTCGATTTATCGCGAATGTTGGCAGAGCGCTTTTCGGGTAAGTTGATAGATACTTTCTTGCTATCGTAGAACACCGTAAACATTGAAATCTTTCATATTACGTACTAATAAATACTTTATTGAACCCGTTCAGACCCAATCCGGCATCGCTGGCCTGCTGTCGTTAATGGTTGAGCTGGCTGAGCTGAACTCGAGCAGTCCGACGATGATGGTGAAAGCACTGCAAGTGATTTCTGGGCTATTTTCAGGTGAGCAAGAGAAACCGATTGAGCTCGATCCAGGCCAAGCGGAAGCCGAAGCCCGAGTTTGAATTGAAAACCGAAAATCGTCTTTTTAGGCCAGATGGAGGGTCAACTAATGCGAGTCGTGCATGAGCAAATGGTACCCGACCGAAAGCTACTACCGAAACAGCTCGATGTTCTACTGACTGAGCGATTGGTGCTCCTACCGTTACGGTAAATACTTCGACAGTTTTTCGTTGAATCCAAGTTTTTGTTAGGATCCTGAATGCGTACTACGCTCTGCTGACCGAACATCGAAGCCTGATGAGCCAGTCGTCGAGCGGGATCCTCTCTAGACCAAACATCGCCAGCATGAATAATAAGAACATGAAGACGGCGAGTAGCGCTAGGTAAGAAAGGAGACGTTCGAGGGAATGACAAGACAGGGGGATGGCATTCTTGCCCAAAGACTCTGTCCTAATTTAACGATGCCGAATTAGCAAAAGCATACATTATATTTTACTTTAAAGTGATCGTGACAGCAAAAACAGGCCTATTTTTTAGAATTGCGGATATCTCTCGTCTCCTCGGCACCAGCATCCACCCGACCAAGCCAAGCAGCTTTCTAGAATGCCCATCATTAAAATCTATGTTTCCGCAGATTCGAGGAGCTTTTTCTAACTATTTGGTAAGTCGTAAGCCACTTATGATATCGATATTACTCAAAATTAGCTTACTAAAAACTGCAGTTGATCTTAGCTTCATATGGAATGGTTCGCGGTTAGAAATGTTCTTCTTTTAGGAAAAAATCGGAGCCGAGCAAGACCGTCGTCTAACCAAACTACTGACCACTGCCCTGCACTGCTTGAGCGTGTTGTTGGAGATGGTTACCTACCAAGCCATACGCCCGCAACTGGAAGAGATTCTATTGTATCTGAAGGTATCGGAAGATTACAAAAATGAACTGGCCTTTTAGGTCATCTTTGAAATTGAGCCGGCTGGTTGTACTCGTTTGCTTCACCAACTCTTCAAATTGGTGTTTGGGAAAAATGCGGCAAATATCAACTTGGAGACTTTGCATCAGTTGAACTTGAAACATCCTCTACCGCCGTCAGGTACGCATGAGAGAGAGAAAGAGAAAGAGAAGGAGAGGGAGAGAGAAAAAGAGTGAGAGAGAGAGGGCGAGAGAATCAGAAGCCAACTATCCCGTTTCAGACAAACTCGACATGTACCTCGTCCGTTCCATCAACGAGTTCACCTTGTTTGCCGCTTTTCTCAACCGCTTTGAGTTTTTGGACGTCTACGTCAGAAGGTAGAAGGCGATGACTTCTAGGAGTTCAACGGGTTTTAGACACGTCGGCTGGCTGAGGGCGGATCTGCTCTCAAAGGTGCACGTTCCGGAAAACTCGGAAATCTCCAGCTCGCTGCTCCTTTTTGAGGGTTTCATCAACAAGTTGATCGCACTGTACCCCAACTTCAACTCGCTGCCGACGAAGTGTGCGGTGAGTTGAGAGAGAGCGAGAAAGAGAGAGAGAGAGAGAGAGAGAGAGAGAGAGATAATCAATACACTCTTTTCAGATCCTGAACGTCATGTGCGAGCTTCCTCGTGACGGGGTACAGTACGCCCTGGCCGATCCGAAGGGCAAACTTTTTGACGTGGTTCAGACCCAGATCGAAGACATGTTCTCCACGCACACAAACATGATTCAAGAGGTATTTTATGCAAAATCGGAGGTATCATACCTTCTTTAGACGTTTCTTTACCTTACCGTACTCGCCAGAACGGGATACATCGAATGGAATCGGGTAGAGGATATCGTGGAACAGGTTCTGGACCGGACGCCAAGACAAGCGGCTAGAAATGGTGGGTGGGCTTGAGGCTTAGGCTTAGGCTCAGACCAGGGCCGTACCTGGGCCGAAATTTCGGGGGGGGCAGGACCGAAAAAATTTTGACGACCCCCCCCCCCGGTCGACGCTTCTGTAAGATGACGGAGAAACGGTGTAAAAACTCTAAAAACAGCGACGCAGGCGAAATTTTTGCAAAATTGGTTAAGAAACACCCTGGGATTGAGCCAAATCGCGGCAAAAAATACACTTTTGAACCGAAATTGCGATTCAATGAATGAAAAAATGAGCGCCGCAGGCAAAAATTTGTCAAAAATGGTGTTTCTAACACTAAAAACCGACTTTCGAACAGCTATAAAAAGCGCCGCAGGCAGAAAAATTTTCCGGAAAAGGATCATAAGGGTCCCCCTTATGAACTTTTCGGCCTTCGGGCGATTGCGGGGCGGGGGGGGGCGGCTCGCCTGGGGCGGCCTGAGAGCGCCCCAGGCAGCAAACTTAGCGAAAATTGCGATAAATTTACTGAAAAACAGCGCCGCAGGCTGAAATTTTTGAAAAACGGTGTCTATAGGATAAAAAAATGGTGTTAAAGAGCGAGGAAAAAGACGCCGCAGGCAAAATTTTTCTGAAAAAAACTGTCTATATTATAAAAATAAATAGCGTTTAAAAGGCCGTTTGCGAGCCACCCGAACAAGGCTTGGCACAGTTTTTTTCGAAATTTTTTGCGAAAAAATCTAAAGGGCCTTATGCGCTTTCCGGACTCGGTCGATTTTGGGTGGAGGTCTATTTCTCCTCACTCTTTATTCTTGTCGAGGATGCCGTGATCAGGCAAGCCCCCTGCCGCGCTAAGATACCGTTAGTAACCGGAATAAAGTGCTTTAGTAATACGGGTTTTCTGCTTTACCTCGCCCTGTATTCTCCCTACTCTGGGCTTTCTATCGCTATATAGATCATCCCGATCCGTTACTTCTCCATGGAGTTTGGGCCTTTCCTCCAAATATTAGCCCATTAATGGTGCCAAAATAATCTCCTAACAAGCCCAACCTCATCTGCCACCCTAACATTAGTGCCAAAAAAATGCGGGAAAATTCAAACTTCTAGATTACCTGCCCCCTCCATGGGGGCAGCAAAAATGGCGAAAAAAAAACATAAGGGTACTACCTTATGTACTTTTCGCCCCCCCGAGGATTTCGGGGGGGGCAGGCTGCCCCCCCTGCCCCCCCCCCTCGTACGGGCCTGGCTCAGACTCAGGCTCAGGCTTAGGCTTCAGCTTAAGCTTAAGCTTATGATTTTAGCCCTCTCCGCCCTCGACGTGCTCGTCTGCGAGAACCTGATAGCTCAGAAGAAAGCTGGAACTCACTTGTGGAGAATCTGGCTCCAGCGAGCTGCTCAATTCATGGAATGGGACCCTGAAGGCTCCTCCGTCGTTTGGACGATATTTTTGCATGGCGCGAGGAGGGATGAGCAAAGGTCCGTCCTTATACATATCCAGACCGAGGCTTGGCTTTCGAATTAAGCTTAGCCTCAGGGTCAGGGCCAGGCTTATGCTTAGGCTCGGTGGATTTTCAGAATCTCTAAATTTCAGAATCTCTAAATTTCAGAATCTCTAAATTTCAGAATCTCTAAATTTCAGATTCTCTAAATTTCAGAATCTCTAAAAATCAGAATCTCTAAATGTCAGAATCTCTAAATGTCGGAATCTCTAAATTTCGGAATCTCTAAATTTCTTTGTACAGGAGCCCATACAGAGTTTGGCGCAAATTGAAACTGTAATGCGATTTTACCCAAAGACGCCTCTGAAAAGTTTTTCTGGAGTAGTTTTTTTGCGCTAATCACGAAAAACGTAGAAGCATTTCCATAGCGCCATTTTTCCGTGCTTGGTTACAACTGTTGTCTTCAAAGCCCAAAACTTGGTTTTGTTATAAGCAATTCATTTTGAATTTTTGTGATTCGTGGTTACGTTTTTCGTGATCAGGGCAAAAAACTACCCCAAAAAAAGTTTTCACAGGCGACGTTGAGTAAAAGCGCCATACAGTTTCAATTTGCGCCAAAAACTCTATTTTTATTTATAGAGATTCCGATTTTTAGAGATTCTGATTTTTAGAGATTCTGATTTTAGAGATTCTGAAATTTAGAGATTCTGAAATTTAGAGATTCTGAAATTTAGAGATTTCTGATATTACAGCTTACTTTAGATGGAAAGAGTGGTCTATCGAAGCCTGGAGCATCTACCAAGAATGGCTTACAGCTTCAAGCTCCAAATTAAGCTCTTCGACTTGTCATGCTCAGATTGTGTTTCTCAGCTCGTTGGCGTCACAGACGTTCTCCCCGATTGATTCCTTTTTTAATTTGCTGAAGAATTGTCTTTTCGAAAAGGTTTGTTTGAGAGAGAAAGGTAGAGAGAGATAGGGAGATAGAGAGAGAGAGAGAGAGAGAGAACGAGAGCGAGCCCAGACCGCAAAATTTTCGACTTTCAGAGCCCATCTCACATCAAACTCTCCAAAATCCTACCCCTATTTTTCCTGATGGTTTCCTCAATGACGGAAGAGCAAATCCAGACCAGAATCGATCAGCTGGCCGAGAAACCGGTCGAGCTATTAGTGCGGTAAGGCAATTTTGTCATGTAAAATTCAATTTTCAGCGGAATTTTCGACGTCATCTGGAAGGCCACCACCGAGGCCAAGGAGCACGACGTCGAGCTGGAGGAGCTGATCATCTTTATGCTCCAATCGATGTCGTATTGCTTGAGGAGTGGTGAGTTTCAAGAGGGCGACAAATTCAGAAAAATAATTTAAGAAAAACTGCCAAAATTCTCGTCTTGCCTGCGTTTCCATACCACCACGGAACCGTCAAGTGTGCTGTTACGGCTTCATCGAATTTCGCCAAAGATTTTGGTGCACTGGTTGTCGTTCTTCTCGCTGACGCCGTCTGCTTTGCCCGTGTTTTTGGAGATATTGAGCAACCCGAAGTTTAAGGGGTAAGTAGATCTGGCTTCTATCTCTCTCTCTCTCTCTCTCTCTCTCTCTCTCTCTCTCTCTCTATCTTTCCCTCTCTCTCTCTGCCTCTAACTCCCTATCTCTCTCTTTATCGTTATCTTTTAGTCACACGTTCAACATCACCATCCTCCTCCTCGTCGACCTCATCCAAACCGAGAGCCTCTCGAACTCCCATCTGGCCAAGCTTTTCGACCCTGCTGCAGCTGTCAATCTACCACTTCTCCTAGTTACAATTGCTGAGCGCAAAATGGTGGACATCTTCGTCAGGTATTATCCGTCGGAGAAAGCCCAAATTCCGTTTCAGTGCTCTAAACGACGAGTCATTCGAGCTGTTCCTATCTACAGTGGCTGTCGGGGCGAAGGAGAGCTTGAATATTAAGGTACGATTTTCAAAAAAGCTTAGGGATATCTAGCGTTAATTAATTGGGAAAAAGATAAAATCTCTCTCATTCTAACCCCTTTAAGGCCTAGCTTTTAGGCCGCCCTCGATACGATAGCGCTTGCAAAGAAGTTTATCGAACACTTCAAAAGAAAACCCTGCGAAGAAAAGCTCCTTGAAATGACGGAAAAGCTCAAGCCGTACTGCCCTGTGCTGGAACAGAAGCTTACGGAGACACTGGGACTGGAGCAGCCGCACGAATTCGACGGGATCTCCGGCTTTGCGATCTCTCGGAACCTAGAATTCCTGACCCATGCCCTCAAAAACTATCAAAACTGCCCGATTGATGCTGTGTTGAAGGGAATTCTACAAGTTCCTACGCAGGAGCTGTACGAGCTGTTTGAGGCGCTGGTGAGGACTTTGAAAGAAACCACAAGGAAAAATGTTGGCTACGAATTACAAATCTGGGAAAAGTGCTTACTACACATCTTTAGGATAAGTCGCAGCGGAAGCACTTCTTTACCGTAGCTATACAGGCGGCTGAGGAATGTGCAATTGGGAGGGCAGGTTGGTACGAGCGAGGACAGAGAGAGAGAGAGAGAAAGCGAGAGAGAGAGGGAGAGAGAGAAAGCGAGAGAGAGATCAGAAAAGTAATTTTAGCCGAACCAGAAGACCAGCGAAAATGCCTAGCGAACGCCCAGGAGCTGATCGACACCCTTGAAGACTTTATTGCTCAGGATCCGGAGATCGCGCTCCAGTTTTACGCAAAAATGCAGCCAGTGGTAAGCTAGCTTCTGGATTTCTTCGAGCCTAGGCTTACTAACAGTAGTAGTAGTTAGGCTTAGGCTTAGTCCTAGGCGTAGGCTTAGGCTTAGGCTTTGGCTTACGATCAAGGCAATGTTTCAGCTTCTCACCACAAGCCTGAACGTCTCCGACCTCACTGAAGGCACAGTTCATGATCTACTCAAATGGATTTGGGCAAATATGGTATACAAAACCTAATTTTTTCGATGCTAAAGCAATTTTAGCCCACCGGCCCTATCGAGCTGCTCGGCGAATTCTTGGCGGGTCTCAAATTCCTCTTCACCACGCCTTCCGCCAGCGAAATTTTTCGCCAGCAACCTCTTGCTCATCTATCAATGCTTAGAGAGTTGTTGTTCAGCATCGTCGGGTTTTTGGATCAGGTTTAATTGTTCTAACTTGGAACAAAGGGTTCTTAAGGTATCTTACGAGCCCTACCACCAAGAAGAAGTATCGGGTATCGACATAACAGGTGTCTCTGTGGATTCCGATAATTACCGTATGACTAATTCTACGTAGAAACGTGTAGTCCATTTTAGGTTACACCTCTGAACTCTTTGATATTGTGCAGCATATTTCGAGGCTCTATCGTACCCAGAAAATCCCCAGTCGAAAGCCCGGGATGAAGAAATTGGAAGAGGTGGTTAGAGGTAATTTTTTTGAAATGATTCGCTATAGAAAATATCTTTAACTCGACTTCCTATAACTACTAAAAAATTTTTTTTTTTTTTTTTTTTTTTTAATTTTCTCCCTCTTTTTGGGTGTTTCCCTCCCCCCCCCCGGGGGGGGGTTTTTTGGTGGGGAGGAAAGGAAAAAGGTTTAATATTGGTGGGGGACGGCAGCAAAAAAAAAAAAATTTTAAAAAATTTTTTTTTTTTTTTTAAAAAAAGTTTTTTTTAAAAAATTTTTTTTTAGGAGAAAAAAAAAAAAAGAAAAGAGAAGGGAAAAAAATAAAAAAAGGGAGGGGTTGTTTTTTTTTTTTTTTTTTTTAAAAAAAAAAAAAAAAAAAAAAAAAAAGGTTTTTAATTTTCTGATAAGTGGGGAGGAAGAAGAGGAGAGGGGTTTTTTTTATGTTTAGTAATGTTTCGACATCCTCTGCTCCATTCGATGGCGATGGTGCCGGAAACGGCGATGAAGTAAGCGAGAACTGCTTGGTTTATTAGCTCTCTCTCTCGCTCTCCCTCTCGCTTCTCTCTCTCTCTCTCTCACTCTCTCTCTCTTCCTCCCTCTATAGCAACTTTCAGGATGGAATGGCGGCCCCGAATGGAAATCCGAGGCGAAAACTCCTTCTCGATTCCCCTGGTCAACATCCATCTGCTCAGCAACTATGATGTGCTGACTGATTTCGCCTGGAGGGTAGGTCCCAACCCCAATGCATCCCTTAAGGAAATGGTGGCATCAACAAGCGTCTATTAATATCTCCACCCGCCAAAATCATTTTTCCAGGTCAACTGGCTCGGCTGGACGACACGACAGCAGTTTGAGGACTCTTGGATGAGTTTGTTTGGAGTACTATCGAGTACTCCAACGGGTTCTGAATTGACACAGGAGAATGCTACTGTGAGTTTCAGGCTCGGGCTTAGGTTTAGGCATGTGCTTGGCTTGGGCTTACAGGCTTAAAGGCTCGAGCTTACACAGGCGTAGGCTTAGGTTAGGCTTACAACGAGGTTTACTTTCCTTACTTTGTTAAGATTAGGTTCGCGCTTGCCTTTTGCTTGGGCACTTAATTTCTCTCGTTTTTCAGCAATACACCGAGCAAATTCTCTCCTCGGCCAAATCGGTCGAAGCCTTGACTGAACTGCTACTATCTTCATTGCTATATCCCGAGCCCGGAAACTCGATCTGCAGTCACTTTGTTGTGAAGCACCGGGAAAGGACGGAGACCTATCGTAGCAAGTGAGTATTTGTCAGTTTTCCGGGAACCAGAATTTGTTTAGGTCTATCCGGCAGCTAACTTCAATCAAAGCGAGGCTTCTTGGGGACAAGGACCCATCTACTGTTTTCCAGCGGAATATCGAGAGATTGGTGAGTGTGAGAGAGAGACAGAGAAGGAAAGAGAGATTGCAAGAGAAAGAGAAATAGAGATCGTGAGAGTGAGAACGACGAGAAATAATTTTTCCTTTAGATCCCGGAAGTCGGATGGAAGTATGGACCAAGTCAACTATCGGCTCTTTCCCTATGGTCCTTAACTGGAGTCCTAAATGATGAAAAAACGCCCACCGGCCAAAATAACAGCCCGGTAAGCTTCAAACTAAAAAAATAATACTATGGCGTTTTAGAGGTTAAAAGCTTCGGTGTCGGAATATCTACTTCGAATGAACTGCGAGCTCGACACTGCTTCATCGGTTCGAGCACTATTTGACAACTATGCTCATTGGTTGAGCCGAGGATTAGAATACCTGTCGTTGCCGCTACTTTCTGCGACTGTACGATCGGTATGTGTTTTTCTCTCGCTCATCTCTTTCTTTTGCTCTATTGTCTATACCCTGCACTAGATGGCACTCCTCTCCGACCTCTTCGACGACTCGACGTCCTACCTCCTGCTATACGAGCAGATGAGGAACATCTACAATAGTCGAATCCTGCAACACCACCCCGACTTTGGCTACGTCATCTACTCGATTCTGAAGGCAGTGACGGTGCTCGGAGTCGTAAGTTAACTGGACTATTCTATTCAAAATTTCTTAGGAACCTCTCGAATCGAAGCTGAGCGAGCTCGACTTTGGGAAGCACTTACTAGGCTTTGTGGAGATGGGATTGACATCGCATTATGCGGTAGTACGGTAAGTTAGGCAAAGCTTAGGCTTCGGATTAGATTCAGGCTTAGGCTTCGGCTCAGCGATCTTGTCCGCCTTGAAACCAACAAGTAAACACGAGTTTTTAGGGAACACACCCTCCACGGCGTCCTGTACTTCTTGCAGTCGATGGCAGGCGAGTCGATGCGTCCGATCATTCAGTACGTATCGACGTTTTTGATCGACGAAATCACGAAGCAACTCGCGATCACTGATCCAGTGTTGATAAATAGGTATGATTTTTTTTCTCCGTGATTCCCTGTCGCTCTCTCCCTCCCTCTATCTCTCTCGCCAAAACTCCTCATTTTAAGCTCCCCCTCTTCCATCAACTATTCAACCGTCATCTGGGCAACGGCCTTCAGAATCATGGAAGAACCGGTCCAAGGGAACTTCAAGCAATCCTTAAATCAGGTTTGACATTAATATTTACTTAACTTCCGTCAATTCAGAAGCTCTGCGAAGCACTCTTGGTCGCAAATCTACCGCACTGGACCCTCGAGCTAATCACTGCCGGAATCGAGACCCTCATCTTTCATTCAACCGCCTTTTCGGAACAGTTTGCAGCTGTGGCTAGAGGTAATTAGTACCTTCAATTCCGAAAGATTTTCCTATTTTTAGAAAGCTTCCAAGATTACCACTTCCACACGGGAAAGTTTCCATATGCCCTGCGGATCTTTGTGGATTGTATTTTCCGAGGTAACCGAGTCGGGATAAGCCCTATTCCTTGCAATTTTAGAGGAAGCCGATCCGTCTCGAAACAGCGCCCACAAATTCCAGCCGCTGCTGCAAACTGCTATCGGATTGTAAGTGATAGAGTATGCGAGAGAGCGAGGGAGAGAGAGAGCTAGCGAGAGAAAAAAGGAAGTACATAATCTTCTAACACCACGCGACGCAGCCGCTGTACCAAAAGTTACCAAAAAAATTACCAACAAAAAAGCAGCAGTTACCAGTTGACACCTTCTCTTTCAGAATACATCGTTGCTACCCTGCCGACGCCTTGCTTCTTGCCAAGGTCTTCCCACCCATCCTCCGACGACTTTATAAAGATCACAAAGTGGGCTTTTCATCGTATAAGGAGTGCAAACCGACTCATTTCAGGCCCTTGAAATCATCCTTGACATGCTGTTCCCCGACCAGAAAATTCACCTCCCCGAGAATGCGCATGCCGTCTTTGTTATCATTTTTGAGGTAAAGCCAAGTCAAAAATTCATCCGGTTTTTTAGTTCTTCGAGTCGCTCCGTGAAAATCAACGTCTGGCTTCTTGCCTTCAACTTTCATCGATCATCGTGAAGCGCTTAAGCGAGATCTTGATCGTGGAATCTGAAAAAACAGCCGCTACGTCCATCCTCTTGACGGCAGCGCATGGAGATTCGGAAGTGGCTTCTCGGTACGTCGGGGGTTAAGACGCAGCGTGGGCCTAGGCTCAGGCTTCGGCTTCGGCTTAGGCAAACCGAAACCAAACAAAGCAACCTATTTCTAGGTTTCACTTACTTCTCGAGATGTACGAACGGGAGCCGATGGACTGGTCGTTTTACCATGATTGGATTTTGCAGAAAACTGCTGAAATGGTAAGAGAGTCGAAGTCAAAGCAAGGGAAGGAGAGAGAGAATTAGCGAAAAAAAAGCTCATGCTCAAAACTTTAGCATATGTTATGATCACTAACAGCACCGCCTAAATAAAAGGTATATCACACCCACACACCGCTTGTTCAGCTAGTGTCCGAGGGGATCGCCCTCTGCGTCCCGTTGCCGGAGCCTGTGGATCTCGCTTTCCTCGCCTCGTGTTTTCCCTGTGATTAGAGCCTCTGTGTTGCCATAATTTTAGTTTGTTTGTTTGTTTAAGGGGACTGTGATAAGGCCTAAGCCTAAGCCTAGACTAAGCTTAAGCCTGAGCCCAAGTTTGAGCCGAAGGCAAAAAAGGGTCCCGCCCCTTCAAACCACCGTAAGCCATCTCGTGCCATTTTACCTCCTCCTCCTGTATCTAGCAACCCCTCTGTTACCCTTTACGCCAAATATTCAGATCTGTGATATTACTGCCTTGCGCTGCTCTTCCCAGTTTTTCTTCTCATTTTTTACTTCAAAGATTCGCAGATTTGCTTCTCACGTGCTTTTTTCCTCAAATTGGCTGTGCTGTCTTGTTGGGTACTTTTTATACTTTGTCAGTTTGGAGCTTCAATTTTATAATAAGATAAATTATTTCTTTCTACTTAACTCGTTCCGCATCACGAAAAATAGCAAATTGAGTGATGGCTTCAAAACAAAGTGCGCCAGCGAGAGAGAGAGTGAGAGAAAGAGAGAAAGAGAGGGAGAGAGAAAGCAAGGGAGAGAGAAAGAGAGATACAGAGCTTTCGAACCACTTCCAAAACCACACCCCAAAAACGATGTACAGAACTGTTAGCCAAGGGAACGGCGATAAAAAGAGCAGATTTGGCTGAAAAGAGTAGGATATCTTCCTTTTCGGGTCGAAAAGATGATGCGGGCGTTCCGCAAAGTGTTATGGCAGTTCCGGGCTGTGCGAATTGATCCGGGCCCAGATCTCCACCCGATACTCAGGGATATGTGTAAATGCTGTTAGCAATCGTCTTTCTTTTTTCTCTGTTAGCATATTGTCGAGGAGTCGATGAAAGGTGGGGCCTTAATTTTTCTACGCATTGATTTAAAGCATAAAATATTTAGCAAATTTTTTTCAGACCCGACGCTCATGTAGCCCAGAAGCATGGTGCCTACCCGACGGCACCAACCTATCCTAAAGCTCCCGAAGCTTACCCAACAGCCCCTCAAGTTACATCCTATTCCTATTGGCCACAATATTATCTGCCATTACAATTATACCAATTCTACCTACCTGTCCAACTGATCTACCCGATTATTCCGCTTTTCTATGTGCAACCGTATCAGCAACAGTATGTTTATCCAACTCCACCTCCAAGCTATGTCAACCCGCCACCACAAAAGTAAGTTTTAAGGAGGATGGTGACAGTATTAACAAAAACTAACCTAAATATTATGTTCTATGATTTCAGCACGTTGCCTCCACCCCCAACGACTACGGCCAAAGGTATCAAATAGGTTGCTTTAGGTACCGAACCGTTTCAGGTGGCCAAGAAGAAATGAGTATCGTCGAAATTACGGTAACTGATGAGGCGGTGATCGAAAATGAGTACTCGTCCACCTCGACGATGTTTATGAGGTTGGCCTTAAATCAAAGAAATACCGACACTACCACTGCTAGTTAGCCTCGACCCCGAATATTCTGATTTTCTAGACCCTTCTCCCCGGCGCCGGCCCCGATGATGCCGATGCCCCCAGGATTTGCGGCTGATATGTAAGGTCTTTGAGTTGATACTTCAATCTGGGTGCAGGGAGGTCATCACGCCAGCCGAGACGACAATGAGTACCACGACGACGACGACGTCTACCTCCACCACTTCACTTGTTACTACGGCAACGACGACTACTCCGCCAAGCACAACTACGAGGCCTAAGACGACCGCGTGAGTCAAAGTAATTTTGTTTCTGTGGGATACCTAACGGATAGTATTCGCTAATTAGACTTTTTTGAGTCATTTGTTTGCTTTTTTGGCCAAGAATCTTGTTTATATTTTGCTTTAGAGCTGTACGATTAGAAGTAGCCTATCTGATTGATAAATTTTTTTTGATTCGATTGATATATATTGTCGAAAACTGGCAATTTCTAGGTTGCAGTTTACAAGTCCGTGAAATGCGCCGTTTTCGCCAAGTCCCATACAAATTGCATTTCGTGCCACCTTATCCTTTCAATCCTGACCCGAGACAATTTACTGCTAGGTGTCAACGGTTGCCAGCCCCATTCTGTAGTCTAGAAAAAAATTCCATTACCAAATAAATTTTCAACCTTATTTTTCAGGGCCCGTGCCCTTGATGCAACCACCAACGGGGCTGGCAACCAATTGACGAATTTTGGTGGACTCGACAAGAACACCAACACATTCCACACGAGCTCGAGCGCACTTAACGACCCGATCCTCAATAAGAATCGCAATTCTCAATTCAGAAACCTCATCCCAAACCTCAATAACAATGTCCCTGATTTTAATAACAATTTCCATACCAACTCAATGAGCCATCCTTCGAAAACGGTTAGCACGCAAACATTCGCGCGAAACGGTCAGCATCAAAAAAGTTTGACGACGTTTTCGGGTGGCGGTGGAACGTTCCAAACTAATCCTGGTAACGCTGATGCGCTGGCTGACTTTATCGCTAATCTCCCGACACCCGACCCCAAGTTATTTGAGAGTACTGTAGAACGTAGGGTTGTTCAGAAAACATTACCGATTGTAAGGATTGAAGGTCGATGACCTTTGAGGTTTGAATAAAATGTTTTCATATATTAAATAGAGTACAAATTCGCTAAAAACAATGGCTATAGTAAAATAAGAAAATCAACAGGAACTATGGTTGCGCGTACAAATATCCTACTATACAGGGTGTCCCAATAAAAAAGGTCACGCTGGCATTTTGCTATTTCAAATCCGATCGACCTGAAATTTTGCACAGAGGTGCGGAAGAGAATTCAAAATGTTCACAGAAACTTTCAGCCCGATCGGTACAGTAGTTTTCGAGTTATTGTAAAAATACTGTTTTTCCCACACTTTAGCGTCATTTTTTCGGCTATCTTTTTGGACTTTGCATCAATTAACATAAATTTCCGGCTCTAAATCGCTTATTCTTCTTAACATTGGCGTCGTTAGCCCTTGTTAAAAAATACTTAAATAGCCTATTTTCGACCCGAATTTCGCGAAATAAAAAAATTCCTAGGATAAAAAAGGGTCGGCGCTTCATTTTCTCCATACATTCCAGGGCTCAATTCCGGCGGAATCCAGGTTAAAAACGTAAAATAAAGTTTATTTTTGCTATAACTCGAAAACTACTGTACCGATCGGGCTGAAAGTTTCTGTGAACATTTTGAATTCTCTTCCGCACCTCTGTGCAAAATTTCAGGTCGATCGGATTTGAAATAGCAAAATGCCAGCGTGACCTTTTTTATTGGGACACCCTGTATATAAAAAAATAGTGTCTGTGTGTGTGTCTGTGTGTGCCACTTTGCATCCACTTCCGGATGGCTGTCCGGAGGATATCTCGATAGGGGATGAATTTTAAGGTATGTATGATACGTCATTAGATGCGTAATGGCCTGGAGATGACTGCACGCATATCAGATTTAACAAAATCACCTATTTTCGACATTAAATTTAAGGTTTTGTAAAAACATTTTTGTTAGGAACAATTAGCGTAGACCGGAAGTGGGGATTCGACTATATAAAGGGGTTTAAAAGGTAGTTTTTCATTTTTTGTCATCTGAATTCAGGAAAATTATGCAAAGTGAAGGATAAAACGGGGTCAGACGGGGCCAGGGTTGAAAAGCCGCGAAGCGGCTTTTCAACCCTGGTTGAGATGAATTAACGAAATTAGAAAATTGAATTTTTTTGTAGGTCTACCACTACAAGCGCGACAACTACGACTACGCGCACAACTAGCACTCCAACCACTACGACAACTAATACTACAACTACTACCTCCGCTACTACCACGACCACAACCAAGACCGCTACCAGCACTACTACCTCAACTACAACGACGACAACGACAACTGCTACAACGCCTACTACCACTACGACCAGCCCCACGACGACGACAACTACCAGCACCACAACCACGACAAGTTCGACTACTACGACGACAACGACGACATCGACTACTACGACGACCACTACCACAACGACTTCAACGACGACGACGACGACGACAGCAACTACGACAACAACAACGACAACGACAACGGCAACGACAACAATGACGACGACGACAACAACTACAACTACGACAACGTCTACAACGACAGCAACAACAACCACGACTCCGGAAGCAACTAGTGCAGTCGAATATGATTATGAGGACGAAGAGGTAAAATACAAAACTTACAGTAGTCACGTAGAGCTGCAAACTATTTTGCCTTTTCAGCTCACGCCGGATCAACTCGACAACTCGAAGGTCGATCCGCAATTCCTCTTCGCCGAAAAACCACCACCAGCCAAGGGCTTTAAGAAAACTAGCGGTTAATGGTTGGCGTATTTAAGTTTGTATTTTTAATGATGTGGTAAAACTTCACTTCTTCAATTATTTTATCGAAATCACAAAATTCAAAAACGTGTCGTCTTCAACTTCGTGTAGAATGTAGAATCACAGGGTAATTTAATTGCACGTAAGCGGAGGGAGGGGTGGTGTGGTTTGGAATGTAGTGGGACTTAAGGCAATTTGAATCACAATTTTAACAGAAAACGCGACGGCTTGTAAACTACAAGCCTGCATAAAGCAACACAGTAAAGCTGACAAGTCAAGAAAAATACAAGAATTAAGAATAAACAAAAATACAGACACACAGAAAAATAGGCGGGGCACGATGTGTTCTACAACGAACAGTACAGCCGGGCTATATCTCTCAGATATAGTGAAGAAAAAAAAGAAACCATTCAATTCGGGTCTTATTTGAATCGAGGGCTAAAAGGATGGTGACAGGGTTTGGGCTTAGGCTTAGGCTTCGCTTCGGCCTAGGCTTAGGCTTAAGCTTAGGCATAGGCAAAAACGGCAACAAAGGTCTAACTGGACCCGACAGACTACAAAAATTTGGGCAATAACTTTGCCCGACGACAAGAAGCCCCACATAGGACTTGGGAACGAGGCGGCAAGCCAGAAGTCAGAGACCGGCGTCTTCTACAAGTTGTACGGTGGCAGGAACTTGTAGACGAGGCGCTGCTTTTTCTCGGGCTTCTGGATGATGCCTTTTTTGTAGTACTGGCGCAGGCTGCGGGACAGCTTGTCGTAGTTCATCTGGGAGCGGTTTTTGCGTTGTCCCCAGCACTTGGCGAGGGCGTGCGACGACTCGATCTTGAAGGTGCCTGAAAATAGGGTTTCGGATTATGCTTCGGATGCTTCAGCTTAGGCAGTTTAGGCTTAGGCTGAGGCTTAGGTAGGCTTAGGCGTAGGCTTAGGCGTAGGTTAGAGTTAGGCTTAGGCAGAGGCATCGGCTTAGGCTTAGGTTTACGCTTAGGCTTAGGCTGCTTAGGATTTGGCGTAGGCTTTCTAACTCGCTCACCTTCATCTCGATTCACCCATCGAACACAGTGCGAGTATTGCTTCGGCTGATCGAGCAGCTCTCTGATGAAGTGCCACAAGTGGACGGTCCCGGAGCCACGATACGCTCCTCCGGACGCAGCTGCTCCATCAGGGAATCCGCCAGCCGGGAAGAGACCGAAAGGAAGGTCAGCTTCATCGTCAACTGAAAAAAAATGATTGTTTTGGGTTGAAAGCCCTACGTTCCGCATCAGATCCAGGGCTGCTCAGCTCCGAATTTGAGGGCGAGGGCATCGTGTCGTTTCCGAAAAATCCGGCATCAGGAGCGAGAGTCGGGCTTTGGAATGGGGAGCCTGAAAATAGGGGATAGATCGAAAAACAGAGAGAGAGAGAGAGAGAGAGAGAGAGGCGGGGTGGGAGAGTGAGCCGCGGAAGTAACTACCGTAATACACACATCCATAAAACCCATTCATCCCCTCCAAATTCGGGAACAACTGGAATGGTTCCCGAGCAGCCGGACTCTGTGCTGTCGGCATTTTCGACGTGCTGGGCCACTCCTTAGGAATTGCTGCGCTCATCGTGTTCGAATTTGAGATCCCGTAGTTGCCGTTTGAAGCAGCCGGTTGGTGTTGTTGGTAGGCTTCGAAAGCTAAAATGTTTGGGGTTCCGCCATCAAAAATATAGGCTACCTGTCTTCCACAGCTGCAGTTGCGCGTGCAGGTCTGCGGCTCCACTCTGAGCAAACTGCTCGAAGTCCCTTTGGCTCATCTGGAGTAGCAAAGCGCCGGTTAAAAAGCAAGGCTTCGGGATGGGGTGGCTGAACTGTTGGCACATCTCCTTGATCCACTTCCAGCAGTGCTCGTTGGTCCAATGGTTCGGGTCTGAAACAAAAAAGGTAAATCTCGTCTCTCTCTCTCTCTCTCTCTCTCTCTCTCTCTCTCTCTCTCTCTCTCTCTCTCTCTCTCTCTCTCTCTCTCTCTCTCTCTCTCTCTCTCTCTCTCTCTCTCTCACCTGTCGGGAGACCGACTTTCGCGCAAGTAGTAGTAATGTCCTGGACAAGATGTCTGAGGATCAAGTCACGATAGATGTCGAGTTGTCCCTCATCAAGGGCATCCGAAGCTTCACTGTTGATGCTCAAGTTTTCAGCAAAAACTTGAGAATACGGGTAGGAGTTGTTGTTGGGTGAGTGATACTCGTCTAGAAAAAGCTTACACAAGTGGATCTACAACTTACTATCGAAAATCTCGGACTTGATTTGCTGATTCGGCGACGTGGTGGACATGGTTGGGAGCTGAAATATGAATTGTGATAGGGTTAGGCTTAGGCCTAAGCTTAGTCAGTCTTAAGATGGAGACCGTTTCCGGTGGCTGCAGCAACTAGCAGACTGCCAAGAACCTCGCTAAATCGCGATTTTAGACTCTCCCCCAGGGCACTGATTAGCATGCAGACGCAGCACTTTTTTGTGTCCACCCTCTCGGCTTACGAAAATAGACGCAAGACACGTCGGGGGTGTGGCGGAGGGCATTTGTTTGCTTTTGGGTATACTTTCTTCTCGGGTGGTGATATCTATCCGCCAAGGAAGACTGAGGCGAGGCGCCGCTGACCGTCTTGGGGCCGTTACCGTAACGCTTCGGCTGTCACGGGGACCGCTACCTACGTCATGACCCGGCCTTATCGCCGTGGATGGCCCCGCGGAGGTCTTTTTTGAGATAAGAGACTCGGGGCTTTCAAGGAGAAACGTGTTTGTCTCTAGAATTGATGGGGGTATTGATCCCGGGGTTCGGAAAGTTTCAAGGTGGAATGACAGGTTGTACTATTGGGGTTGTGATTCGTACTTACAAAATGGCAGTTCTATGGCTAATATAATCTATATAATACTACAGAGTTGCCTAGTTTTTCTGTCCCTGTAAAACACAGTGCTATGCCACTTTACCTAGAGGTTACGGTACCTCGAGTCGAAAACAACGACACTACTTTACGATACCTAGCGGATACCGTAATCGTACTTGGGCGTTTGCCAAAGATTTTCGAATAGAAGTTTTGCCTCACGAGTACTATTAAAAGAGCCTTAGTGTCCCTATTTCCGATCAGAATATCGACTATCCTCACCTTCGGCTTCTTGCAGAATGCTGACTGAATTGAAGCAGTGGCTGTGGCTACGGAAGCCGTTGGAATTGGTCCCGAGAAGTTGTCTGCTTGGCACATCGGCGGGGAGAACCGGCTTGGGCTCTGAAAGAGAAGCTGTACGTCTCTTTCTTGCTTCGTTCTGATTCCTAGGGACACGTAGCGTAACGTTGATAGCTTTGATTTTTTCGGAAACTCACGCTCATGTCGAATCCGTAGTCGCTCTCCGAGCGTTCGGACGGGCTAATCGGCCAACTGTATTCGGATGTCTGGTCACAGTCGCCGTAGTAGCTGCTCATAGGGTACTCAACTAAAGGGAATATTAAACATGTTTTTCCGTTTTTTTTTGGGATTGCGCTAGATTTAGGTTTTTATCCAGTTCCTGTCGAGGAATTTTTAAGATGTCATGGGAGACAGCGACGATAGAGAGTGCGAGATCGAGTGAGAGAGCGCCAGAGAGAGCGAGATGGAGGGAGAGAAACCGACAAGTCTACGTAGCTTAGGAAACTCGTCTAACTTCGGGCTCTGCTATTTTTATGCCAAAGCTGTGACATCAAGTGACGTGCCTACGGTTCCTTACAATACGTCACAGTACGCTAAAGTACGGTACAGTACATTACAACAAGTTATCTTATGGTACCGTACGCTACCGTATGTTACAGCACGTTCCAGTACGTTATAGTACGCTGCAGCAAAGCGAAATAAAAAGCATTAACAACCACACCCCTACCTCTATCAAAAATGACGGGCTCTTCGAAGAACATTTAGCCGTTTGGAGGGGGAGAGGTCTGCTGCGTGCGTGTGTGCCGCCAAAAGAAATGGACAGTGTGTGTGTCAGAATTGGTCGGCGGTTAGAAGTGGAGACCGTAGGGGGGTCTTATCATGAAGACCGCCCCATGGCCACCCTCGCCAGATTAGATGGCTTTCCCCCGTCGCCTCCTTCAACTCGAGGCTTAGCGCCAAAAAGTTCGCGGCACAATTTGAGAAGGGGTCTTCGAAAATCTTAGAAGCGTGTCGTTCGTTGGGGATTTGATGGGGGTGGGCTGGGGCTTATGTTTATAAGTATTGATAGTTACGTGCGTACTTGCCGACTTTTGAAGGTAGAAAGAAATGTCTTTAGACTTGGAAGTTTTTTTTGCTCATCCGGTAGAATGAGAGAAAGCAAAAGAAAGAGAGAGAGAAGCATGGCAAGAGAGAGAATACGTGAGTAAAAGCTCGAGAGAAAGAAAGATAGCGACAGAGAGAGAGCGAGCGAGAGAGAGCGAGAGAGAGAGAGAGATAGTGAGAGGATTTTCCTGATTTTGGAAGCAGTTAAAGTAGCGTAACCTCACAGGTCTATTGACGGAAATCGGAACCTTATTAGTCCTTCTGGTAAGCACAAACAAAATGACTGAGGAATGGAGGTGTGAAGAAGCAAACAATATAGAAGAACCGAGCTGTTTTGGAGTTTTGAGATACTTCAGGGGGTTTCAAAGTGTGCGGATTGGCACCTCCTTCCGATCTAAGAGTCGAATTCAAGGTGCGGCGCCTAATGACGTATGCCATTTGACTTGGGTGGCTTGAAGAACAAACGTTTTGAAGCAAACCGAATGGCGGCCGGTCACTACCCCGAAAGTCACTACCCCGAAAAGTCATTACCCCGAAAAGTCACTACCCCGAAAAGTCACTACCCCGAAAAGTCACTACCCCGAAAAGTCATTACCCCGAAAAGTCACTACCCCGAAAAGTCACTACCCCGAAATCGTTTACCCCGAAAAATGATAGCATTGTTTTTCCCGGAAAAATCCAGTTTTCATGCAATCATGCAAATTATTTCGGGGTAGTGACTTTTCGGGGTAGTGACTTTACCCCAAACCGAATGAATTATACCCCTATTTAACGCAAGAAAGTAGCTAGTGAAAAACAAGTGCCGATTCTGCGATTTTCCCGACCTCCTTGGGTGTGTATGACGTTTTTCGACATGATTTGTCGCGTCTTCGTACAGAGCTTATACCTATAATCTACACGCTATTCCAAATCTGTAGTCGATTTTTCTCAGATTTTGCTAGTTCACGAAAAACCGTCAAATACGACTCCTTGCAGAAACACACTTTATCTTAGCAACAAGCTCCCGGTAGCCCGGACTTCGCCCTTCGACCATTTTATGACCCCCCGAGCATTTCATTTCGGCTTATTTGTGCGCCCCCCAATTTACAGCACCCTGCGCGTCGGCACCGTGATGCAAACCCGTCGCGGAATCACGGGGTTTTTGAAGAGAGGTGGCCCCTCATAAATCGTCTCGACCCTTCGCTTTTGTGGTCGTAAAACAAAGAAAAATGATAGGGGCGTGCAGACATGGTCATGGCCGGAAAATTGAGCATGAAAAGGGAGTGAAGGTTGCAAAAGATCACCTTAATTTTTGCCTTGCTTTCAGAGGGACCGTACCGTAAATTTTTTGTCATTAGTTCACACATTAGTAGCATTGGGCCATTTTCATTTTGTCAAAGAATAGAATGTCCAAATGTTCATTGTCGCAAATTTTTGTAGGCCATGAAAGGTGAAACATGGTAATGAAAATGAAATGAAATGTTTCAAAATTTTCAAAATTGCGAGGTTTTTATTGTCGAAACAGATGTTCCTCATCTGTTTCGACATATGATAAAAAAAAAGTCGCGGCCCGGCAGCCGAAGTCCGCCTTTAAAGTGTTATTTAGTTGTTCTTAAGAGGTTAAAACGGGAGAGAAAAAAATGAGCAGAGAGAGCAAAACTAAGAGCACCGTTTCAGCAAACTGCAATCGTAACTTTATCAATACAAACTGTACGAACCTCAACTCAACGCAACTCAGCTGGAGCCTCCCGGCCGTACACGCATCTCGGCGTCGCGCGCTGAAACGGGTGAAAATTTTTGAATGGAAAAACGGGTGGAAAATTCGCCGAGATGACGGGGGGAACAATCCGTTTCAGGGTGAGTCACTTCTCGGCCCTCAGGGGCAACATGTATTAGTTTCGGAAATATAGATTTTGGAAAAGTTTTTCAGGCAAGGCTCGGGCTTAGGCTTACGCTTAAGTTTAGGCTTAGGCTAAGGCCTAGGCTTAGGCTTAGGTTAGGCTTAGGCCTAGTCTTAGGCTGATCCATAGTTGCTTCAGAAAGCTTCAAAATTCGAAATTCCCGGATATCCGGCAGGTCCTGTTCCAAAATTTGAAAACCCGGGCTCCCGCGAGTTGGGCTGAACTTTGAGAGGTTGCATTCGGATGCAAATCGAGCCCTGGATTCACTTTCAGGTCAGCAAACGGGCGACGGTTTCGGATATTCGATGGGGGGGGAGGGGTTGGAGGGCAATGGGGAGAAAGTAGCGCGTGAAAGTAGGGGCTTTCGATCCTCGAGGGCCGATACTTTGGATGAGCAAGAGGTGGAAGTGGATTGAAGGGATGCAGAATAGAATAAAGAGGAGAATAAGGAAGAGTCGAGAGGGTCGTCCTCCACCCAATTCGCATCTGGCTGCAGAACCGGCCCATTGAGAAATTTTGGGAATGAGAATATACAAATTCTGGGAGATTGGTGATCAGAGTGGATATCACGTTTTTATCAAAAAATAAACAGAAAAAATTATCGACTTTTTTAGAGGGCTAAGTAAGGCTGAGGTTCGTGGTATGCCCCCCTAGGTATCAAATTTTACATCCTAATCAATTTCGTAGACGTTAAATCTGCCCTTTAAAGGAGCAATCAAATCAGGCATTAGGTGATTGGCCGATTTCATACATCCCAATAATGATAGTTTTGAGGGGTGTTTTTTATTCATAATATGCTCGGAGTCATGCAGCTCCCTCGGGTTTTTTCAGCCCAGGGTTCGGAGTTTGCCAACAAACGCAAAATCAGTTTTAAAGGCGTTTTGAGGGGGCGAGGGGTCGAATGTTCATCAAGGCATTAATGGCATTAGGTTAAAACGTTCTTTTACTTGGCTACGTTAAGCACTAATACACAAACGGTAAAGTAGATCCAAAAAGAAATTGACATTCAGCTTCGGAAAATTGGAACTCGGCGCATCAGTACCGGATCTAACATTTTTACGAATCATGTAGGCTGGGCTCCTTAAAAGATCACGAGTTAATCATAAATATATAAATTAATAAGGAAATTAAAAGGGAATACAAATCTAAAGTTGGCTGAACTCGCTACGGCAATCCTGAAAAAAAATCATACGGAACTGGTCTTGTTTTAGCTTTACAGCGCTCTAATGGTGGAAATCGGACCCCAAAAAAGTAACTGACACGAATACCTTTTGTCGAGGAGTATTTAGAGTTTGTTAAAACATCATTAAACGAGGAATATGACTAAACACAATTTACAGAGGAGAATAATCCTGTCCCAAGTCAGCCCCGATGTAGCTTCTGTCGACGAAGTAAAGAGCGCTTCTCGATTGAAGTAAAGCACTACAAAATGCTTAGCGTACTGTAATCAGTCCCAAGGTATTTAAATGTGCATTAAACTTTTCCACCCCGATCCGCCGACCCAATCCCCAGAAAGTAAGAGTCGGGAGGGTCAACCGGTGGTGGTAGTGAGGGTGGCCGATGGCCTGAGGGGGGAGGTTTCTCCCCCTCTCACCTCCGACCGGTCATCCTCAACCCCCTCGGATCCTCCTGCTCCTCCTCTTCCTAGAGGATACCCGAAAAACAGCCCCTTCACCTCAATAGGGGTCCCGCGAAGCTTTCGCCCTGTGTGAGCCCCCTCTTGCTCCCCGCGCGCGCCCCGAGCGGCCGAACCCAGGATCAAAGATTTGTAACAAGCCCCGATTTTCGGGGTGCTGGTCCCCGGTTTCGTTGGAGAAAGCCGGCGGGGACGGGCTGTTTTTTGTTGGCGTACCGGTCAGGTTATGCGAAAAAGTTGGTATTCATCAAAAATTGGAGGTCGAGTTCTGTGAAAACCTGATCGGTCGTGGCGCTAGAAATGATTTTGGTCAATATTCAAATACCTTAAACTAAAAATAATGTCATTGTCAAAAATAATAACATCAACCGACAATTGCACCGTGCTCAAAATGATGTTTTTACTTTCCGCGACCCCATGTGCGTCGAAATACGCTCAAGACTTTATTCAAAAATTCGAAGTTAGTGTTTTTTGGATGTCTATGTAGCCCAATCGTATTAGCAACGTTTGTTACTGTTTTCACCTGCATAACAAACCAGCAAAAAATTTATCAAAACTCAAATGATCAAAATCGGTTTGTAAAGTCGGTACATAAAATCAAAAATTCAGCAATGATGCCGCCGCCAGTGATGATGATGATGGTGGTGAGGCTGGAATTGCGGGGCTACGTAGCCGGCCGTACCATATCCAATGTAACCGCCATGGCCCCAGTCATAACCTCCAGCTCCCCATCCTAAAGTAAAAGAGTAAGTATTGTTTTTTCGAGTGTTCGAGGTTATCGAAAATTTAAGCAAAGAACGTAAGCATATTTTTGTATACTAGATGTCTACGCAATGATCGTAAGATAGTACTGGGTGTCCAAAAAAAAAGCACCACCCTCTAGCGGTCCAGGGGAAACTCAGATCAGGGTGATTTTTATACCATTCGAAAGCACTCGAAAAGGGGAGAAAACAAGCGGGCTTCATTTTCTCAATTTATTCTTATTCATCCGATATTCAACGTTTTTGTAAGAAACAGGTAGCTTTTCAATAGGAATTTCGCAATTAGCATGCAGATCTCGCGTAAAGCTGCCGTTTTCATGGTTTTTGGAGATGAAATTTCGCAAATAAAAATACATAATAAGGAAAATGAACCCTCCTTGTTTTCTCGCCCTTTCAGGAGCTTTCGATAGATACCTAAACGACGAAAATCGGACACGTCTGCGCGCCGCTAGAGGGGGGTGCTTTTTTTGGGACACCCTGTATAGATAACGTAGCCAAAAAACGTACGAGTCTTGAAGTGGAAGCCGTGGTAGTGGACCTTGTGGATCTTCACGTCACCGTGGACGCCCAGGGCCTGGATCGTCTCCAGAGGGAAGCGGTGGCGGAAGGTGGCCACGCAACGGTTGTTTACGTGGACCTAAAAGTGCTAATGCTATTGTTTTATTGTTTATTTGTTTTTCATTTCTCTTGTTCAACAAAACTTACATCAAAGTGCGTTGCGTGCACATGGATGGACATGTTGAAACTGGAGTCGTGGTGCCCAATCGGATTATGGACGCGTTCCTAGAAATGATAAGTTTAGGAGGCGCTAAGTCGGCATAGACAGCTTGAAAGCGAAGCTTAGGTGAATAATGACCCTGGAATTTTGAAAAATGACATGGATGCATTAATGGCTTGGTCAATTCTGCATTAATGGTTTCCAAAAGGGTTTTCCGCTCGCACTCGTGGCCTCATTAAACCGAAAATTCCATTTATCATACATACTTCGTACTGCCAGACCCCATTGACACTGCTGTTCATCACCAGGTTGTGCTCGTGGTGCTGGAATCGGAAGGACATGTGGAAGACGTGGTGTGGGCCGGACAAGAATTCCACGACAAAGCACCTGAAGAGAAATTTAGCCAAGAGGCCTCCGACATACTTGTGATGTCCATGGTGGAGATGACCATGCAGATCAATTCGAGCTCCCGGGATCACCTGCTCGTAGAAGGGCTCCACGAAGGGGACGCACTAAAAAATGGAGATAATGAGGGTGTAGTGACAGTATATATCAGGTTGGATAATAAGTTCTGTCACAATTTTTTGAAATCGCTCGTTAAAATCGCAGATGTTTCCGATTCTGGAGTTTGAGGTATGGTTTGATAGGTCTCACAACACTCTATTCTGGGAGGACCATCAGCTGACCCAAAAATGGAGGGACGTCGAGATACAGGCCCGGGAAGGTTTTTCGCAAAATGACGCAAAAGTGTGTTAGCGAGTTATCTCTGCATACAGTAATTTGCATGCGATACCTTCAACACCAATCGATAGCTCTCGAGGAGTAGATATCGATAGATTTTTAGATCATCAAAATTGGACATCGGATGGCCGAGATACGACCCCTTGAAATTTGGCCCATTTCTTAGAACTTTTCCCAAAATCCCATACATTTGATAGCCCGCGGCCAAAACTGACCGCTTGATTTTCAAAAGATCCGAGCGCATTTTGACCAAATGTATGGGATTTTGGGAAAAGTTCTAAGAAATGGGCCAAATTTCAAAGGCCGATATCTCGGCCATCTGATGTCCGATTTTGATGATCTCAACATCCATCGATATCTACTCCTCGAGAGCTATCGATTGGTGTCAAAAGGTATCGCATGCAAATTGCTCTATGCAGAGATAGCTTGCAAAATCGGTTTGGTACGTTTTTGCGGAAAACTTCTCGAAGCTCTATCTCCGCGACTCTCAATTTTTGGATGCGAGGAGGGTCTACCCAAGGTAGAGCTCGAGGATACCTATCAAACCATATATCCCACTAGTAATTTGGGCACGTCTGCAGCTTTAACAAGCGATTCCAAAAAATTGTGACAGAACTTATTATCCAACCTGATACCTCCAATCGGGAGCTTGCTTGCCTACTGCTAAAATTTCATGAGCTCCGGTGCGTTTAAAAATTAAATCATGTTCAAAATTCGGGCTTGATCCTTTCCAAGGTTTCCATTTCCAGTCTTTTCAGATAATTGAAAAATACCAAAGCCTAAAGAGCGCTTCGCTCTGCGTGATTAAAAAGGCTCGGAAAATAAAAGACTATTACTGTTTTTGGGCCAAAAAGCCAGCTAGCTAGCTCAGGCTAGGCTTGGGATCGGGCTTAGGCTTCGCTTGGGCCGGTTTAACCTTTAGACCGAGGCTTAGGCTTAAGGTCGGTTATTAACGTGTTACAAGATTATCAAAACCTACAGGATGGTGTAGCTCGTGCATGCCGCAGTGGTTGTGATGTCCGTGGTGGTGGTGGTGAGAGTGATGGCCCCCTATCTTGAAGGAACCGGGCGGCCTACGCGCTTTTTAGGAGGAGTAGTATCTACGGGGTGGCGGCTTAGGCTAAAGGCCCTTTTATTCGGCTTGATATCGCTCCTTTTCGATCCCTTCCGTGATGACAAAGCGACCAAATAGCGGTTGGGAGGAGCGGGCCGAGTCACCGGGCAGTTTCGGCGCAAAAATCGAAGGGCCAGGGTTGATAAGGGGAGCATGGCGGCTTGACGTCGGGGTTGCAAAAAGGGGAGGTGATTCATCAAAAAACGAAATTTAATAGAATTCGGGGGTAATTTTTGGTGCTGCTGTTGCGTGGATACGTATTCAAACGGCGAATCTTGCAATTTCCCAAAGAAAATAGGGTGTCTCTCTCTCTCTCTCTCTCTCTCTCTCTCTCCCTCTCTCTACCTCTCTCCTGAATGGTTCCCGAATCTTTCGTAGGCTTGACAAAATTGCACAACAAAGCGTAACGCTTAATTTTTTACGAATTATTTATCAAAAACTCAAAAATTCACAATTGACAGATTTTACAATCGATTCACCGCCTCGAAGAGCTTTTTGGCCGTCAGCGGAGCGTCGAGTACTAGCGGCTTTTCCGGCTTCTTCTTGGCGATGATCGCCTTTAGGAGAGCTGCATGGACAGCGGTGGCAAGCATTAATGGAGGTTCGCCGATCCCCTAGATTGATTTGTTTTCAGGGAGAGAGAGAGAGAGAGAGAGAGAGAGAGAGAGAGAAAGTGAGAGAGAGATAGAGAGAAAGATCGATGCCCTTAACGTAGACTACCAATACCTTTGAGCGATAGATTTGCTCCGGATAGCAAGAAATTCCTTCAAGTAGCTTCACGCGGAATCGATCCGGGACCATTTGCACTGTAGGGATTTTGTATTTGTAAGCAGTATCGGTGAGGAGCTTTCCATTCTGGTCGTACGCCAGATCTTCGCACGTCATCAAACCGTAACCCTGGAGATAATTGGGTTTTCACTCGTTCAAAATCTTTCGGACACTTGCGGCAACAAGAGCACACCTATCGGCACCTTATAAAACTTGCAAACACCTGGAAATTCTGGCTAAAAAAATCGCTTCCTACCTGCATAAAACCGCCTTCGATCTGCCCAATATCAATGGCAGGGTTCAAGCTTTCTCCGACGTCCATTACAATGTCGACAGCGACGAGCTAAAGCGTTGTTTTTTCGTCTGATTCAAGCAAGTTACCCGATGTTCTCCGTTTGAGGTATCCAACTCCACAAGGGTACAGATGGCTCCAGAAGTGTAGTAGCAAGGGTCATCTTTGCCAAGGCCGTGCTGATCGCGTTCAATTCTGAACAAGATCCCCATCGGTTTAAAGTGAGCATGAGGATTCTCTCGAAATTCGGATTTAGTCATATTAGTATTACTACATTATAGTAAGAGCGTACGTCATAAAATACTAACTTCTGTTGAACTCACGTAATAAACTCGCTAGCTTGTAGCGGAGTCTTGTTCAAGTAAGCCTGGAAGCAAGCAGTATTCCAGTCCCCTTCAGCCTTCTCCAGGAACGGTTTCAGTCCAACGATCAGCTTGTCGCAACAGGCCTAAACGGATCGATAAAGCTCCTTCCGCGAAAATCGATACCTTGACAGCCTTTCCGTGGATATCTGCTCCTTGGCTTCCTCCAGTAACCGGAGCATTTGTCGTTTTGTCGGTTCCAACTTCCAGCAGGTTGATGCGGTCGATGGGAATCTGAATAGGCGCAATAAAAAAACCATTTTATTCTTAGGCTTAGGCTTAGGCTTAGGCTTAGGCTTAGGCTTAGGCTTAGGCTTAGGCTTAGGCTTAGGCTTAGGCTTAGGCTTAGGCTTAGGCTTGGGCTTAGGCTTAGGCTTAGGCTTAGGCTTAGGCTTAGGCTTAGGCTTAGGCTTAGGCTTAGGCTTAGGCTTAGGCTTAGGCTTAGGCTTAGGCTTAGGCTTAGGCAACAATCTTTACGAAAAAAGGCCCATAGCCCCCGTAGATCCGTTCTGGTAGTGGTCTAGGAGGGTGGCGAGTGGGGGGGGGGGCAAATTTAAACGAATGGAACGAAAATGGTAGCTGCACAAGTAGTACAAGAAAGTAGATGTAAGCACGGCAAAAAGCACAAAAGTGCGTATTATTGCCTTAACCTTCCTGGCTTCATGACACAGTCTGTTTAACCTACCCCTAGAGCCCTGCTCGCACACTGCTGGATCTTAACGTTCAACCCTTGACCCATTTCGACACCGCCGATCGAGATGGAGACCGCACCGTCGTAGCAGATTTGGACAAGAGCCGAGGCCTAAGCTACGTTACAGTACGTTCGACGTTACTTACAGCCTCTAAGGGTCCTGGGTGGGGCATGCCAAATCGAGTGGTGCCCATGGCCACGCCGCGCTTGATAATCGGGGAATTTCTGGAAATGCGGGATTTATCTTAGGTTTAGGGATAAGCTCAGGTTTCGTTTTAAATTCTGGCTTAGGCCACCTGTTGAACTCCTCGACGTCCTTCTCCAGCTTCGTGAACTCGGCCATCTTTTTGCACTCCTCCCAACACTCGAGCATACCGTCATTTCGAACCTTTGCTCCCAGGGGATCCAAGTCGCCGACATGCGCAAAGTTCAGCTCTTTGACCTAAAAACATATGACATTGTCGTGAGTTTTTAAGCTCTACCTCTTCAAATCTTTTTCCCAAGCTCTGCGCGACATGGTTGACGATCGCGTCCATGATGAAGTAGGCTTGTGGTTGGCCGTAGCCTCTGGAAGCGGAAAAGTCACTCTCTTTCTCTTTCCTGTCTTTCTCTCTCACTCTCTCTGTTTCTATTTCTTTTTCTTGCTCTCTCACACCTGAAAGCCGTATTCGAGCTCTTGTTCGTTTTCACAGGATATACGGTAGAACGATAACTTGGAATTTTGAAGCACGTGGGGGCCAAGCAGCCGATAACCTTCGTAACCTAAAAAAGCTCTAGGTTGAATTTTTATTTTCTTAAATACCCAAATCGAATTGTCGATCGACCAGCCCCCATCGACCAAAGTCTCGTAATGGATAGCCTCGATCTTCCCTGAGCTCGAGAAGCCGACTCTAAATTTTTGGAGTTAAGCTTTCAGGGTCCTGACAAACTTGTAAGAACACTTTGCCGGATGCCTCTTCCCGGTCATCATCACATCATCCTGTCTATGCAGCACCATACTAACCGGACGTTTCAGCTTGTGGGCAGCTAGCTAAAAAGGGACCTTCAACGTTAAAGTAATCCATCCATACCAATGCCGGCCATCTTGCAAAGCCGCATTGAGCACCAGCTTTTCCTCCAAAGGCTCCACCAACACGTCGGATCTAAAAAAGCTTAATTGCCCGAGAGAGAGAGAGAGAGAGAGAAATAGTGAGAGAGAGAGAGTGAGATAGAGAGAGACATAGATAGCTCGAGAGAGGACGTGAAAATATCAAAGAAACAGACCTTAACTGTAAAGTTATTGCTCGGAATTCCGAGAAGCTGTGCAGCAGAAAGTTGCGCAAAAGCGGCTCCTTGAGAAGCGGTGTAGAGGATGCTAAAAATAGGAGATAAAGAACAAACGATGATAGCAATTACAGAGAAAAGAGAGCGCAAGAGAGAGAGAGAGAGAGGATCGTCGCAAAGCTGAGACTCACAATTCGTTCTCCTCGCCTGGCACCGCAACGCAAGATTGAGTCTCCATGTAGATGTGCTCCTGTCCGCCCAACCCCACTTTTCCTGATATCTGGAATTCACAGGCTGCCAGATCAGCAGCTACGGCATCTTCTTCCTTTCCGAAATGCATCGCCGGGCCGAGGAGTTCATTAGCTTGGAAGCCATCCTGAACAAGAAATCGGTTAGGTGAAGTCGCTCCAGTTCGTTTTTGGAATTAACTTGTTGCTCCTGGCCAGAGCAGCAGCCCACCTCAACATCCAGGATCGACTTCAGCTTGCTGTACTCGACATTGACGAGCTTGGCAGCCCTTCTGGCTGTCAAGACATCGTTGGCAACAATCAATCCAATCATTTGGCCAACGGATTCCACCTAAACAGTTGGCATATCCGTAGTAATACTGCCGTTAGTACGATTATCTTGAAGTAAAGTATTAAATGGCTGATATATCTTACTTTTCCAGCCGCAAACAGTCTTGTGTTGTCGTTCATCAAACAGAGCTGACCGGAGAGTGGAGTATTCGAGCCGCCAGCTGGGATATCCTTAAAAAACTATTTAGGTATGGTCTTGGCCTTAATTGTCATCTGCCTTCTCGATCCCTTTAAAATGTCTATAGTTGCACCAAACCTTTTCCTTAGCTAGAGCCCGAAAAATTAATTACCTTTTCATCGATGTAAGCCAAAACTCCCGGCAACTTCAAGGCCTCGGAAGGGTCAACGGCGATGATTTCGGCATGTGCTTCTTTGCTGAGAACTGGTGCTCCATGGAGCAGACCATCGAGTTTTAGGTCATTTACATATTTGGCTTCTCCGGTGGTGTGTCGGCCAGCAAACTGATGGGCCAAGGGACGTCCACATGCGTCGAAATCAGAGTCGGTGGCTTTCTGAAAGCTACTGCTTGTTTTTCTCCCTCGCTCTCTCTCCTCCCTCGCTTCCTCTAACCCACCTGATATAACTGCAAAAACTCGAAATCATCCGCCTTTATCGCCAGATTGTGGTATTGGTCCGTCTTCGAGAGTCGGCTAGCCATATCCCGCAAAAATGACTTGACCATCGCGATCTTGAAATCAGCATCTGGGACTTCTGGATTGAGCGTGGAGCCCAGGCCGTAGCCCCACTCATCGAAGGTATCGGCTAGTTCGGATACGGGTCTAAACCGAAAATTTTTGGGTTTATCCCTCTCGCTAAATTGCTCCCTTGCTATCTCTTTCTCTCTCTATCTCTATCTCCTCTCTCTCTCTCTCTTTCTCTTTCTCTCTCTCTCTCCGTGTATCAATAATATAAATAATCTTTATTTCCTTACCTGTCAAAGATCTTCTCCGACACCACCTTGAGCAGCTCCGATTTCTTGTTTAGGCCGGCGACGAGGCGTGACGACTTGATTTTACCTGTAGAATAATTAGTTGCCCTGATTTTTTAGTTTTTTTTCAAGGCACTGGCTCTCAACTTACTATCAAAATAATGAAAAATTACCATTTTCGGTTTCTACCCTAAAAACGCTGTTTACGACACTGGCATCTGCTCCACGGCGCTCACCATGTTTGTAGGACAAGTAATGGACATTTGTCTGTAATAATGAAATTAGTTTTTTCAAATTTTCAGAAAGCTAATGACTCTTGCTCGATTGTGCCGATTGAAAGGGAGCATGGCATCAAATCCAGAGGTACCTGCCTTAAAACCAACCTCTTCTCTCGGGAATTCAATAGCAGTCAACACATCAGTCGGCTTTAGAATTGTCTTGCCCTCGGTATCGAACAACTGCTCAACAGTGATCTTGCTTCTACTCCAGTTCGCCAGTGAAAATAGGTGGAGCTGACAGTTCACTGCCAATGCCAGCGCGCAAAAGTCGCTGGTCGGGGAGGCTGAGCAGAGAGCACCAGCCCAGCTCTGAAAAATAGATTTAGGCTTGGGATTAGCCTTTGGCACAGGCGACCCAAATTCGGCACCCCAAAATCACTAATATGACTAAAACTAAGGCCGCAGGCAAAATTTTTGAAAACATAGGTTTATAACACTAAAACTATGTTATAGAACAGACAAACAACAAACTTTTGATTAATCATAAGGGTCCCCCCTTATGAACTTTTCGCCTTCGGCGATTTCGGGGGTCACCCCTCCCCCCTTAGGGCCTGGGCACAGGTTATAGGCTTAGGCTTGGGCTTATGCTTGGCTAAGGCTTAGGCCTGGATTTAGGCTTGGGCTCACGACTTACCGCCGTGTTTTTGACTTGCTCTGCCGAATATTTACGGAAGATACGCAGCATGTCGTCCGGAGCTGCCACATTTTCGCGTATGGCCTTTTCGAGTTGACCAATGCTCAAGGCGCCACCGATGATGATGCGATCTTCGAGGACGTCGACCTGAAAATAGCTTAAAAAATATTAAAATCTTAAATATCGGGATCATCCAATAAAAAATGGCCAAAACAGAAAAGAAAGGGGTACATAACGATCCCTTGTAATTTTTCCATACCTTTCCCATCTCGGCAATCCGGTGAATGCTCAGCCAGTTGGCCCTCGAGACGTTCGGAGATAATCCCAGCACTATAAAAATTAGATTTTTCAAAATAGATGAGGCTTACCAAGTCTCGAAATCATTCCCGAAGAAATTATTTTGAAATCCGGGAGGTTGCTCGCGATTTTTGCCACTTCATTCAGGCTATTCGGAGCGTGAAGTGTCACCCTGCCTCCACGGAGTGCCAAATTACGATCGGCCCTCCAGGCGTTCACCTAGAAATAAACGGTAAAGGCGAGAGGGAGAGAGGGAGAGAGAGAGAGAACCAGCGAGAGAGTGAAAGCTAAAGAGAGAGAGAGAGAGGGAGAGATAGAGAGAGAGAGACGACTCACCAATAGCTTCGGCGGGAAGATGATCTCCTGGCTGGCATCATACTTGGTCATCAACCCAAAATCCGCCAGTTTTCCGGCCTGATTAGGATCAACATTTTCTTGCTCCTTACAGGGGCATCCGCCTGCTCCTCCACCACAGCATCCAGCCTTGGCCTCTCCAGAAAACGAGTAAAAGGCCTCGAGGATGGGGCGGTAGCCGGTACAACGGCAAAGGTTTCCTTAAATACGATCGTTATTTGCTTGATAATTGATTTTTAAAGTTTTGAGTCCGTTTTATGGCATACCTTTTATAGCCTGGTTGATCTCATCCATTGTCGGCTCCGGATTGTTTCTCAGAAGGGCGTACATGGCCATTGTGAAACCGGGGGAGCAGAAGCCACATTGAGTACCGTGACCACGGGAAAGGCGCTCCTAAATTGTACTTTTCCCCTTAAGATACTGAGTAAATGAAGCACCATCGCTTTGAAGTTAAACCACAGAAGCTAGTGCTTTAAAGGAACAGGCCAGTATTCCCCTTAGAAAATACTGTAAAGAAAAATAAAAAGCTGTGGGCCTTCATGAAAATTTATGGAACGTGTGATTTTAAGGAGAGCATGAAAGAGAGAGAGAGAGAGAGCGAGAGAAAGAGAGAGAGAGAGAGAAAGAGACATAGAGACCAACCTGCACTGGATGAATTCGATCCTTTGAAATGCCTTCTACTGTAATAATCGAACAGTGATCTACCATAAAAATTGGGACCAGGCAAGAATTGATGGCCTCGTATCTAAATTAGAATTTTAATACATAAAGAGGCATAAAAGTCAGAATATAAACTGCATCAAAAAAGGAAGTCTCGTAACCGACTTACCGAACTTTCTTCGTGTTTGGGTCAATTCTTCCAACGACTACCGTACAGGCTCCGCACGCTCCTTCCTCACAGCCAAGTTTGGTGCCGGTGAGTTTTACTAAAAACCGAAGCTTTTTATGTTAAGGGGAATTAGATGAGGATGACCGTATTCTATCAAATACCTCAAAAAAAATTAGAAATAGACTCACATGTATTCCGAATATAGTACGCAAGCGTTAACTCAGGATTCGGGTCGATCAGGTTGATCTCGTCGCCGTTCACGAAAAAATTCAGGCCGGTCGTCTCTCCCATGATTCTGAAAATAAGAGTGAAGCAAAAACGCGAGAAGAAAGATTGAAAACCCTTCCGAAAACGTATTACTCAAAAAATCTGAAAATTGAAAACACAGGAAGATACAGATACAGGAAGAACAAAGATTTTCACGGGACGCTGGAGTTACTGTAGAATGCAAACAGGTGCAACGCGGAATGAATGCAATTCGACACGAAGATAATTAGCCAGGTGAAAATTCGGAAAAAGCTTTGAAAATTTATCCGCTCGAATTGGGTGACTGCATTACGGAGAGGTACATTTTCTCAAATGGCAGGTATGTGAAAACAGTGTTTTTTAATATGTCGAATTACGAAATCCCATGTCGTGACTAATTAAAATCGTGGAAATTCAAAACTTGTTCAAAAATAAGCTCAAACAGCGATTCACTCGTACTCAATCCGCATTAATGAAAAGTTAAGTGTATCCAATTGCAGGCGCCAGATGTCGATTGATGGAAAAAAGTGCAGATGTGTAATCCGCAAGCATCATCAAAAAGCACGATAAAGCATAAGACAATTAACTCGTCCTTCATTGTTGTCCGGTAGAAAATGCTAGCCACAAGTAATCGGCAGCGGACCTGAAAGGGATCCGGCCGCCCGGGAAATTCCCCCAAAATAAATCCGATTTGATAAGGGAGGGGTTGTCCCCTCCTCGTTCGGTCGGAGAACGTTTTTGAAATAATTACGAGCTGCGGGGATAAGGTGACAATGACTAAAAACTACAGAAGGAAGGGCGTTGCCGGACACTATATTGACTATAGACTAAATTATTGCACCTCCCGAAGGAAATGCGTTCCAAAATTTGTTCGAGACACTCGTCGAGGTCGCGGGGTTAATGCTGACCTCAAACTTGGGTAATTAAACCGAAGTTGTCGTTCGCTCCCCGCACCTACCATCTGCCTTGCCTCCAGGTGAGCGGCTTTTGCTGCCTGGTCCTTACTGAAACAATATAATTTTCTAAGTTTCGAAAAATCATAGCAATCATACGAGGGCTATGGGTTTTGTACCAAACATTTCCCGGCACCCTTAGGCGTGCTCTTTCAGATGCAAATCGAATTCTGTGTTGAAAATGCCGGATCCACCAGAAATTGGGCTGGAAAGATATAATGTGGTCGCTCGCGGGTCTCTCATCGTCACTCGCAAAAAGGCTCCCGCTCAGCCTGAGCCGCAAACTTCCCACTGAAGTTGAGCACTAGTGCCTGGCAGACGAGCATAGACCGTTTTGGAGAGGAGAGAAGGGAATTCTCTGGCTGAAAAGAACGTCAAATTCAAGAGGGTAAGGTAGGCCCCGGCTGGAGAATCTGGCCAGCCAGCAGATATCATTTAGGAACGGGTCTACGATCTGAAAATTCTGGCATCAAATTATCCGGGAGCAAAAAAAAAACATAAAATTCCCAACAATCCTAGAGTTAGATTAAGCAACAAAATCCTTTAAAACGAGAAATTCTGTCTAGGGAAAGAACTCCGCTCGGAAAGGAAGACAAACAACGGCTCTTATAAGTAATCGCATCAAATTTCCAAGCTCAAACATTTTCGTAACGCCAAAACCAGGCAAGGCGACAAAGATCGGTGGAAAAACCCGTTCGTTGAGCCCACCGTGAGTGCAAAATTTGATCGCAGACCAATTTTTCGGGGCGATAGTTTGTGCGGATAACCCCCGCCGCCGGTCGTCGGTCTAATGGCCATTCAAGCGTTCAATGACCGTATCAACTCAGGGCACGCTATAGAAGACCGACTGTTTGCTGGGGCCGACTGTTACACAATTGTCTCTTCCGTTTCTCGGGGAGTGGCAGAAACCCCGAAATGGGCTGGCTTATGGCCTGTAAACAGGGCAGAAACCACGAACGTGTAGGTACGATCAAGTTTTCGGATTCGAAAATGGCTTAGGAAAGGAAAAATCGGCTGAAGATATGCTATAGATATAGATATGATGCTGAGGCTTAGGCTTGGGCCAAGAGATAGGCGTAGGCTTAGGCTTAGGCCTAGGCTTAGGCACAGGCTTGGGCTCAAGCTTAGGCTTGTTTAGGCTGAACTTGGCCTGGGGCTTCGGCTTAGGCTTAGGCTTAGGCTTAGCTTGGGCTTGAGCATAGGCTTTCGCTTAGGTTTACGCACCCAATTTTCGTTTTAAAAGCTTTCTCTGTATTTAGTGACAACAGTATCCTTGCAAAAATTTATTATACGTTCAAATTATGGCAAAAAAAGGCAAGGAAAAGGTGCAGATCATGATGGACTGAACCCGTGTTTTCAAGTCAATATACTAGAAGTCAATAATTGCTTATTCCTCGGCGTAGGTGTGCTTCTCGTGTTTGAGGCGGCGCATCTCGTTTTTCTTCTTCTTGGGGAGGTAGTCGACGACCATCTTGGAGTACTTGGGCTCGGGCTTTTGCCACTAAAATGGATTATTGATTTTTAAATATGAATTTTTGAGGTATTAAAGCCTGCTTTTTCCGGTCTGCAGAATCTGCGTATTGCCCTAATTTTTACGATGCCCGAAAATGAAGGTTACTTACGTAGTACTGAGGTTCCTCGGTCTCATCGACAGTATGCATTCCTTGTCGGTAATTTCGTCGGTCTCCATCTCGGCATGTGCTCGTGTAGGTGACGACGGTGTAGTCGACGATGTTCTCCTTCTGGGTGGGCTTGCACTTGCCACAGATGCAGATGACTCGTCCTTCCTCCTCGTAGTCATGGGGTCGGGAGTGTTTCTTGGGGCTGAAAAGAATAGGTGTTCAAAAGCGAGAGAAAGCGAGAACGAGAGAGGGAGAGAGAGAGAGCGAGAGGGATAGTCACAGGGTGAGAGAGCGAGATAGTGCGACTCACTTATTCCATGTCCTCAGCTGAGTCCTTCCAGTCTTCGAAGCCTTCTTTTTGATCTCACCATCGATGCTCTCTTGGAAAGTCTGAGCTGTTGCTCCCTTCAAGTGGTAGCGCTCATCATAGTTCTTCGATTCCTGGATCTTTTGTCGCTCCTTCTTGCTGAGGGCCAGCTCGACGTTGACGGTGGAGAGGGTTGCGCGCTGAAACTAAGTATGTTAAGGGGACTGTGAAGCCAGTCTTCGGCTAAGGCTTAAGCTTGGGCTTAGGCTTAGGCCTAGGCTTAGGTATCCTTAATTCTTACCTTATATCTGGGCAGCTCCGAAGCAATAATCTCGGGCAGTTCCCATCGGTTATTCTTGTTCAACGAGTATTCTACGTTGAAGTCCATTCCGAATTGATCGTGGTCCTGAAAACCCGTTTTTTTGGGAAGTTATCAAGCGCTAATTCAGCACCCTACTACAGTAATGTTTAGGAAACGATACCTCAAAGGGTCTTCCCGACCGAGAGGTCTTCACAAGCAGCTCGGGGCCGAGCTTCCTCGGCTGATTAGCGTGATGCGGGTCCCGTTTCCGGGGGTGCATCGGGATTGCGGTTGCGGTCGGATACGCCATTTGGCTCCTATGTACAGCAGACGACTATACTGAAAGGCATATAATTAAAAACTTGCGTATGAAAAGCAGGAAAAATAAAAAAATCGGAAATTTCCCTAACCTAATCAAATCAATTTCCAATGTCGCTTACGTTCGCTTAAGCTTACCTAAGCCAATTGAAAAAAACTAATTTAAATTTTATTACCTAAAGCCGAAAAAAATCGAAGCAAAATTGCCAATTTTTTTCGTAGTAGAAAATTTGGGAGCTAAAACCAAAAAAAAGAAATAAAATGTGTATTTTTAACAAATGTTTAGTAGCCAAATTTTGTAAAGGTAGCTAAAGGTAAGTAAAGTAATATTTGAGGTATTGTTGTGCTGTGTCACCATTCCTCCTTACCATATATTTATACATTCACTGCCCCCGCCCAATGTTGTGCAATCCGGTGTGGGGTTGGGCAGCCACGGCTGGTGAGTCAGCCGCCAGAGAAACGGAAATAGTGAGGGAAAGGAGAGACGCGGCGACAGGACGCCGGTCCCAGGAACGGCGTTTCCCAATTCTCTTACTTTATCTATGTTTTCATGACAAATGACGTATTGTTAAAGCAATTTCAGAGCGTAATGTTTTCCATAACGGGTTTTGTTGTGCTTGCGGGTACTGAGTTACATTAGCAACTTTTTAATTTGTAAAATGAGAAATCTATTTTTTATTACTGTAAATGAACCGGCCCGGATTCGCCTTCTTAATCCCCCTACCTTCATCTGGGTATTTTCTTAGTCTGCTGGCGAGTGCTTAAGGTAATTTCAGGGCGTAATGTTTATTGGATCACCTGTTTTTGCTTTCACACTAGAGTGAAACAATCTTAAAATTTGAAAAGCTTCTGGGCTATTCTAAATTGTTGCCACGAAGCATTTTTCTTTATGACATTTTAAAAAAACCCTCGAAATACTTTTTTTTCGATTTTTTTAATTTAAATGGCTCTGCAAATAAAATTCATCACTCTGAATAAGCATAGGTAACGACCTTGTCGTCTGCTCATAATTTTCAGTTCATGGTAGATTTTCACCAAGTTGAGAGTTTAATTAGAAAATTACACCTTAACGTCTGGACATGCGCGACTTTTATGACAGCTTTATGCAAATGCACGTCTGTTATGGCAGATTTATGCGGTTTCACATGCATGAATTGTAAAACACTGCATTGAAAATATTGTATGCAAAAGGGACAGATCACGAAAGATGGGATCGAATTCCTAATACGATTCATGAATTTCCTTGTCATGCTTCAATCGCCGCATCTCGTTCTTCCTCTTTTTCGGCAAGTACTCGACCACATCCTTCGCGTAATTATAACGGTCTTTCAGGTCGCGAGCATGGACACCGTGACGTGAATTTCCATCGGCTTTTCGATTAGTGCTTGTGTATCGGACAACGGTGTAATCGACGACGTCTTGTTGAGACGGCGTGGGGTTAGAGGCCAGATGAACTTCCTTGACGTGATCGTGCGGGAGAGAGTGCCTCTCAGGACTGAAATTTACTGTCGGCTTGTGAGAAAGATAGATGGATAGATAGAGAGAGAATGGAGAGGGAAGAGAGAGATATAGAGGGGAGAGAGAGAGAGATACCCACTTATTCCAAGTCCGCAGCTGAGCTCGCCCACTTTTCGACGCCTTCTTCCTCGATTCGCCATCATCATTTGCTTGAAATGACTGGGCAGCGGAGCCTAAAATAGCTGGTGCGGTTACGGTAGTTTAACCCACCTCTTAAGTGATAACGCTCATCATGATTTTTCGATTGTCTGATCTTCTCCCGCTCTTTCTTGCTGAGCGCCAACTCGACCTTGACAGCCGCGATTGTAGTTTGCTAAAAAAGGAATATATAAACTTTATTATCTAAACTATATTACAAAGGTAAGCGCAAACCGACGACAATGCATAAGCATCAGCCTAAGTTTAGGGTTAAACTTGGGTTTAGGCATAAGCTCCGTCTTAGACAACAAGGGTCGTTTAGGTGTATTGGGTGACGAGACCTAGCAAGTTCGATAGAGAAAAAAATTCTGAACAAGATGTCGTTGTCCAAATCTGCTAACCGTGTACGCTGTTCAATAAAAATTAATTTGAAAATCATTAATCTAACCATCATTTTCCGCCTGTTCCGCAGATTTGCGCTCTGGGTCGCGCAACATAGCCCCCTTAGGCCTCCCTCCAGCCATGACCAGCTGGCCTATTGGTAGTGCGCTTGCTCATAAGTTTTTGTCTTTTTTGCCAGCGGGTTCGACTCTAGCTAGTAAAACTCTTGCTTGCTCGATAATGCCAAATTCGATTTCAATGGCCTGAAAAACCAAAAAGCAAAACAATAAATCACAATCAGTTCCGAACCCTGGGCATAATTTTGCAAAAGTTTGATAGGCGCCGGCACTATCCACTAGGCCACGATCTCATGCGGATGCTGGATCGCGCTATGGGCTATGTCCCGGGCCTGATCCATGCGTCGCAGCCTGACGTCCAGGAATTTTTTCATTAAAATTAATTTATTGATACAATACACGGTTAGCAGATTTGGAAACGACATCTTGTTCAGAATTTTTCTCTATCGAATAGCTAGGTCTCGTTCAAAAACTCCAATATCACCCAAAAACGACTCCTTGTAAGGAAGGCTTAGGCCTAGCTTTGGATGCGCCAATAATTTGCCCACCTGATCAACGGGGAACTCGGAGGCAATGATATCGGGCAGCTCCCATCTGTTATTTTTATTCAACGAGTACTCCACGTCGAAGTCCATCCCGAATTGATCATGGTCCTGAATCAAAATTATTAAATTTTTAAGGACTGGCTTGCAGAATTGTCCCAAATCTTACCGCCAAGGGCCTTCCCGACCTCGAGGTCTTTACAAGCAGCTCGGGGCCAATTTGCCTCGCTTTATGTTTTGGGAGCGAACTCCTGGTGCGCGCTTGCGTCCGGATTCCAGATGTTGACGTCGCCATGGGGCTGTATCGAAAATTATAGCAAAGGGGCGTTATAGAAACGGCAGTTAATGAAATCGGAAGTTGTTTGGCTTGGGCTTACAAGCAGTCGCTTTTTTATGATCCTGAAGATTCGAGATGGGACCGAGTCTATCTGTGCAGAATTTTGCGCTGATTCCGGATTTTCCTACTGTTTTTGTGGATGGCCATTTCTCGCCAGCTAGACACGATTTAAGTCCAACGATTAATATAGTTTTTTCACTGATCAGGATTCGCTAGCTGTTTTTTTTGATCAAACCTGTTTCGAAGGATTTGATGTCCCTCAATAGTAGCTGATTTTTTTTAATTTAAATCGTTGTTAACTTGGAAGACATGGCTATTCCGCAATGATCGTAGCGATATTCAGAATCAGCGCAAAAATCTGCAAAAAATAGGCTTGGTCCGATCCCGAAGTTCGGACGATAGGCGGTACTTCGAAGATAAAAAAAAGCCAATAAACGAAGTTGTAGGCAGTGATCTGAAAACTTGTGTTATCGCGCCAATCGCATCTTCCCAATCACTTTTATGCTTGACGACACAGCTGGTTGGGCCGAGTTGTGCAATACCGCTAGTGCGTTAATGTAACCAAGGTAGTGATTCAGCTTCCTGTTGGGAACTTGTTGAAGCAACAAGATACAAACTTTTATCAAAATCCGATCCCCGGAAAATGGGATAATCTCCTTCTCGTTTGGCTGTTGTTTGGATCGGGCATCGAATTCTGAAATTGGAATAAATGTTTGATTGAAGCCGGTATCTACCGAAAAAGTCCTCGTCGGTCTTGCGCCAGATCCGGCCGATGATGAGGTACCACTCCGCACCCGGTCCAGTAGCTTATTTCTTGGCTTAAAATACAAAGTTGAAAAACTGTCAAGGTATCCAAACCAGTGGGTGTATCCTCGTTTCCGGCATTTGGAAGACGGATGGTCTGAAAATAAGCTTAGGCTTATGCTTAGGCCCATGCGTAGGTTTATCGATTGACTATTACTTACTTCCGATCCTTGCCAACCAATATCCCGATATTTTCTTCCACTACGGATTCATCGCTATCACTTTCAGAAGCAATCGAATCTTTTGATCTCCTAGTATCCAACGTAATTTTCTTCGCTAGCGTCGGTTTTGGCGCAGGCTTGTCGCCCATCATATTCTCGAAAAAACTAAAGGATTTTCCATAGCAATACAAAAACACACGCGAAATGACGCTGATCACTGAAGGAGCCGGTGACGGTTTTGAAGAGGTACATAAAAATTTCGAGTAATGTTACGCAGCTCATTCCGAGGAATAGACCCATGCTGCCGGCGACGTAACCTGACAATAGAGGCATTGGAGGTCGAAAGAATGCTACGAATGAGAAAAATAGTTCGTAGCCAAGCTAACTTAAGTTAAATTCATTAAAAAATCGTACTCAGCAAATCGGTTGCCTGGAACCGTTTGTACTGCTTGATCCTGACCAGTTTGTTGGAGGGGAAATCGATGATGATTTCGGTAATATTACTGAAATCCTAATTATGTCTTGAAAAAATACCTACACTTTTCGTGGCGAGCTCTTAACATAAGTCGGTCGCTTCACAATATACCTTGGCCGATTACACTGCGGCTTACACTTGCACGTCGCGCCATCCAGTGGTTTTCCGGAAAAAGTAGCTGTTAGGGGAGAGAAAGAGATAGAGAGGGGGAGAGAGAGAGAGAGAGAGAGAGAGAGAGAGAGAGAAAGAACGGCGCAAACCCTTCTTGTCAAGGTATCTCTGAAGTTATCTTTAACCGTATCCACCTGTTCGACACCTATTCATCTTTATTAAGGTGCAGGTCGTATTGCCAAAGTGGTTGATGTGGAACGGTGCACAGCCACATCCTTTCAAGAATTGCGCCGCTAAACAGTAGCGGAAGCAGTGGGTGAGGGTGTAGTCGTGTCTAAAAATGTTTTTGGAACTACGAAAAACGTATATATTTCCATACTTTGCTGGTATGCTTTTGTCCCACTCCTTGCTGCACGTG